TCTCTTTTTTTTTTCAATTTAAATATACTATAAATTTAAAAAACAAAAAGAAACATCTTTATTTATAATTTTTTAAAGTTTTGGTTAATTGCAACAAAAAATGTTGAGAGATTTTTAAAATTTATAAAATGTAAGGAGGTAAATATTATTTCTTCTGTTCAATTTTAATATATTTAATTTTTAATTTAGAGTTTTTAAATTTAGTTGTTCATTTTTTTAAAAGATATTATGCATTTAATCTTATTTTATCATTATTTTTAAAAAATAATTACAATATATATTTACCAATAAGAAGTCTTATTTGTGTGTATTTAATTAAGATAAATATAAATTTTATTAATAAATTATTAAATTTCTATTTTAATAAATAAAAAAACAAAATCATTAAATAGCTGAAGTATATATGAATATTTTATCTAAAAATAAAATTCATTTTCATTTGCCAAACATATCCTCATAAATTTTCGTTTTTAAACATGCAAAGGAAACCTACTTTCTCCTCCCAAAATAAGGGTAATTTTTTACTTAAACTAATTATTATTATTTTTTATTTTTAAGATATAAATATTTTTTCTATTTTAACTTTAATATTATGCACTCACTTTAATTAATTATTTAATAATACAAGTCTCTCTTTATCTTTTTTTTAAAGAATATTATAAATAAATATAAATATTATTTCTAAATTTTATGTAAAAAATTATTTTAAAAAAGGTATTTTCTAAGAAAAGAGGGGAAAATGAAAAAAAAAATCTCTTTGCAAAACACACAATTAATTGCATAATAAATTATAGATATTAAAATTCTTAACTTTAATCTCAAGGGTTTTTTTAAATTTTTTAAAAGGGATAATTTTGGGAAAAAATGAAAAATACTATAAAAATTTCAATAAAAACTTAAATTTTGATATAAATTATAGTTTTTGATACTTATTATCAACACTCTAAAAATTACTGGTGCAACTTTAATCTAAGTTTAAATTATTAAATTAAAGAGTATAAATTTGGTAAAATTCTTGTCGGATCGGTTGTAATCCCCTAGGCGTTCAACTTTAAAGTTCAAAGATGTCCCAAGATGTGAAAGAGCAACAACAATGATGATGATGTCTCAAACAGGTCCTTTGTTTATAAGTTTATGCTTTTTATTCATTGCCTATTTTCAAAAAATATATATATATTATGCTTTTCAATATTATTGCGACCTCTCTCTTACAGAAAGGGACGACCAATGGCCTTAGCATCTTTTTCCAAATGTCACTCCCTCCAATACCCAGCTTCCAAGTACATATTTCAACCACAAAAATAAAAATATATATA